AAGAAGAAAGTCATCTGCCGCAACTATTTTGGCTAATCAGCTGGACTAATAGCCAACTTCCCCATTTATAGACATAATATTTACTAAGACTGGATGCAACAATCAAAACGGGTTTTGAATATCAATTGCTAACACAAATTGGAAGTCATTACTTTATTGATCGATAGCGGGAAATTGGTATATGGGATTGACATGCCAATTAATATATTTTCGAGCACAGTTTCCTAAATGAAGACGTAACAAATCGGATTATTCACTCTCTTTTGGTAGCACAAATTAAGTCGAAATTTTACTTGCACTTTTAGCTATATTACCTAACTTTTGGATGTCGTTATATTTTTTATCGTGGAGTAGCTTTCAAACATTTCTCATCCTGGATTGAATAAAACTCACACCGAATGTATACCTACGCACAATGAACGATGAAGCCTTTCCCTTGGAGTTCATATGAAAGCAAGCACCGGAACAGTTAAATACATATATGCTGGGCTAGCGAGCGTGTATAAGCAGGACTGTATAAGGCTATTCAACATATTCTTGTTATTCTATGTCGACATGCCTATGGTGAGATAATAGAATATGTTTCTAAATATTTTTATTATATATCCCTAACGTTGTTAGTGTATGGGCATAGCCTGCACTGATTGGATAATTAGATATGTATTCACCCAATTTCATTTTAAGGTGATGAAAGACTGGTAGTATAATTTTCGCACGATGATATGAGTAGAGCTAACGTTTCCATTGGATTTCACATAGCTTTGCTTTCCCAAAAGTAGTTCTCATCCAGGCACCAGTGGACTGCAGTTTCGACCTCGCATCGGTCTTATCCACACCCTCAGCGGAAGTCGAACCGCGACAGTGCAGGACGGTAGCTTGACACACTAACCACTCGGCTACACTGCCACGAGCGCCTTTTGGGTCACAGGGCAAATGTGAATTTTCAAGGAAGGCCAGGCCTTTTTGCCATATCATATTATTTTTTGGTGGAATTTTCGATGAAGCAGACGTATATCTGCTATAACAATCGACTACTATACTTTATTTTTCGAATTAAGTATTGTTTTCATGACTACCTGTAGATCAGTAATAAGAGGTGATGAAGGACTGGTACCAGTCGAAACCTCAGTCCACTTTTGTCTGGATGAGAACAACTTTTGGCAAATCAAGGTTATGCAAAATTCAATGGAAACGTCAGCTCAGCTCATGTCATTGTGGAAAATTCTTCTTCTACCAGTCCTTCATCACCTTAAAACGAAATTGGGTGAATACATCTTATATTAGTGATTTATTGGTAGTCACGAAAACAATACTTTATTGGATAATTAGAGTCGTGGTCTTTCCCTCACTTGAAAGTGGCATAGGACCAGCGGACTACGGGTGGTGGAAAGGAAAGGATAAAAACTTGTTCATGACTTAATATCCTGCCTGTGTCCATCCTGTATCGTCATCCCTTATACAGGCCGCCATGATTCGTTAGTTATGCCCATCATGCAAGTCTCTACTTGGTATTAGGGCTTGATTCCAGAGTGATGCCATTCTATGGAAAAATATTAGAGTACTGGCGAAGTATTACAGGCCTTAGGAAGAGATGGTGTATGAGTCTGACCGGTGATGGAAAAATCCTTATTTTTGTGCTTATTTGAGCTCAGCCTTGAACTTCTTTTGCCTCGGAGTTTCAGAATGGAGCGGGGCTGCGAATGCTTCCACTGAAACTGAATTAAAATGACGGATTTCTTCAGCGCGGGTGAAATCTCCAGCTAGACGAATTTCCCACTTACTGATAATTATTTAGTCGGAAACAACACTCATCTTTGAATTTGGAAGGAAGGGAATATCACTACAATTAACTTCAGTCTTAATTGAAGTGGTTGCAGGATCTCATGTCACTACGGGAGACGATACTAGTGCATAGTCGAGGCCGAAAAAGCTTCACATTTCCTATCTGTAGCAACTTTAAACAGGCGACAACTTTAATTTATGTGCCCTATTGACTTGCATAAAGAAAGTTAACCTTTGGTTCGGGTATCGATCAAGCGGTTCAGATTTTATCCTTTCTTGGTTAACTGTTGAAAAGACGAAAGTACACTTACTATCTCGAGAACAATCAAGTACACGTAAAAAATGTATAACAAATCCATTTGAGTAGGAGGCTAGTCAATAGTTTGTATACTCCTTAATCGTCTATTGCTGTTGCTAGCAGATGGGAAGAGGCCGGAGCCAATAGTGGCTATTAATACTTCCAGTTACGTGGAGACTTCAAACAGTTTTTACGATTTGGATGTAGTCGTTAAACCATCGACAATCTTCGCGCCATTTTTTAGGTTGTCTAAAGTCATGGGGGAAAATGACTTCGGCTTTATATGCTCCTGGCAGACACGGCACACAAAAATTGGTACTTTACAGAAGCGTTGAAGTACAGGGTTCTTAACGAATATTCTTTGGAATTTATGCATTGTTGAGGTGTACACTTGAAGACACTCGAGAAAGGTAACGCGAGAGCGATGCTGGCATGCCGAGATTTTCTTGACAGATAATTCTCCGCAGAATGCTAAGCTTCTCGTCCTACTTGAAAACAACTGAAGACGACTGCATGGCGCTGGCCACTTTAAGTTGAACTGTTTCGCCAGTTCATAAGGCTTGCAGACGCAAACCAGGTAGGCATAAAAAGCCACGAATGCTTCTTCCTTAGCGGGGACGGCTCATCAGGTTCTCACGTCAAAACTGAGGTCGGCGTCTTTGGCCAGTCACAGGAGAGGGTTCCAGTCGGGAGAAGATTTCGTACTCTTCGAGCTAACAACTTGGTGAAACAGTGACAAATTCTGTGAATTCTCAAACCTTTCGGCTTCGAGCCTATCGGCACGGTATGTGCATACTGCTTTTCTGCACACAGGCCTCATGATGGCCACGGCGTGAGTATTTGTAATTAGGCTTTCGAGACTGCCAGAAAATCAGTTTCGTTTAAGGCGAAAAAGGCTTAAATTCGTCCACAATCGCGTGTGTAAACCTTACATTTGCATTGAATTCATCATTTCGGCTGGAGTGGACTACAGTTTCGACCTCGCCTGAACTCGTCCGGTCAACAGGTCCAGCGAGACTCGAACCATGGGCTTGCCGATGGCGCCAGGGCGAGGTCAATCGTGCCGTCCACTCCAGCCAGAATGAGAACACCTTTCGGCAAATTCAACGGCCAGTCGCATTTTCACCCTAAACCAAATGGGCTGAGCAGATCTTGTCTATCGGAGTGGATCGGCCCGGACAACTGAGTCAACTCGAATGTTGCAGTGAAGCCAATCGATGACTGGTCAAGAGGCATCTGCTGTCGTCTTCCGGTGAGATCGACGTTCGCATCGCTTCTCGAAACACTTTCGCTCGAACAAGGTTTACTTGGCCTTTGCTCGGCCCAGCTGACGAGATCAAGACGCGTTGGGCAGTCAGGCCCAGATCGATGGCCAGCAGGCGGCCTCGGTGCGTCGAGCCAAGGTGGTTGGGATCGGCGCTCGTCGCCCAATCTATCTATCGCCTGGCGGCCAGACGTGTGCGCTCGCGCCTCGGTGCACCGGCAGACACACGCGCTCTCCTGCTGGCCGTCGTCCTGGTCCAGTTTGTTTTGTGCGTCTGCGTGCTGTGTGCACGTGCGCGTGCGTGCCTGTGTGCACGTGTGGCAGGCCGGCATCGATCGGCCTTTCGTTTCAGGCCCGGCTCCATCAGCCGCCATCCGACGCCTTGTCGGTCCCCACGCGGTCTGCACTGTACTGCACTGCACTGCACTGCGACGCTGCGCAATACGGTGCAGGAAAGAGGCAGCGCAGGGCAGGGCAGCACAGCGCGACTCACGCGCGCAAGCAGGCAAGCGCGCAAGTGCGTACTCGCACAGACGGGCCGACAATGGGCGCACTGCGTAGGCCGCCGTAATCGGGGCGTCCGATGTCGGCGGCGATGTGCGGACGAACTGAAGTTGGGCAAACAGATTCGTTCAGGTCGGGGCTGGCTATCGATCCGGCCGGCCGAGCCATTTGAACGGCAGACGACGGGCCTCGAGGCTGCGCCAAGCTGCAGCTAGTGCCAGCAACTGGTGCGTCGTCCCAACCTGCAATGGTGGGCACGTTGACGGTACGACTAGTTGGCTTCACCTCAGAACAATCGCTCCGATTGTCCGCTTGCCTGAACTTGCTCGGCCTGACAATTGGCGTCTTCTGGTCGCCGGGCCGGTCTTCGGCCCGACGGCTCGATCGGGTCAGCCTCACTTACCTCCTCCCGTACTGGTTTCGGGAAAAAAGAGGCCCCACCCACCACACCCTTCCAGGGGCAAGTCGCGAATGCTGCCC